TCTATATCTTTCTTTTCCATGCATAAGAACATAGCTGTGACAACCCAAAATTTCTATCTTATACAAACGTGCAATTCAATCAAAGTCAGACTCGTTTCTGCTATCTTTTAGCATTGTTTAGAGTCAATTTGAGTGTTCTAAGCCTAGTACCTTCAAAGTTAGGGTTTAGAAATGGGTTCCCTAAGTTCTCCACTTTTGAAAATGGCCAAACACTACTTCATGAGGAGTGTACGGCACTACACATGGGTGTGCGGCCGTACACCCCCCTCCTGGCCGTACACTCTCATGTATATATGCGAGACTTAGCGTCCATTCATCTCTTTTCACACTCCTAAGCCAAGAAATTGATTCTCTCTCAACTATCATCGAATTTTTCACCTAGATCTTCAAGTTGTAAGTGTTTCTTCCTTTGATTTGTTGATTCATTACACTAACTAGTGAAGATTCATGATTTCATCCATGAAATTACTTCTTTTGTTAGATCTTCAAGTGTTCTTCACTTTCACCAAGAACACCTACTAAGTTTTTGGACCTTAAACACCCCTAAAGGCTTCTAAATCGTAAGTACCTCTTCCTATGCTTGTTACTTACTTGATATCCACCTTAAAAGTCGTCCAAAACAATATCATCAAGGAGTGTACGACCGTACACACCTCATGTGGCCGCACACCCCCTTGTTTAGTGCATTTTGGCCTCAAACTCATGTTCTATGCTAGTACAAGATCAAGAACACTTAGGGGATGCAAGATAGAGCCTTGGACTACACTTTTTGACCATTTCTTCAAGGAGTGTACGGCCGTACACTCCATGGCTGTACACACCAGGCCGTACACCTGGTGGCCGTACACACACTAGTGTGGCCGTACACCCATTGTATGCAACCCTTTGTACTTCTAACACTTCAATCTAAGTGTTTCCTAAGTCCTAATGTGTTTTCCTTACATGATTAGTTGTTTAAACACTAATTATATACATATATGTGTCATTATATGCTTATTAGGATCCGTTGTGCTCAAGTCTTCACTTGACACTTAGCATCCTACAAACTGATCTTTCATTCGTATCACTCACTGCAGGTGAGTTCATACCCCTTAACTTACCTTTTAAATGATTTTAAATGCTTTTATGGGGGGAATACAAGTAGAAACATTATAGTTATTATATCAATCACATGTGATTAATAACTATCAAACATATAGATTTCTTACACTTCAAACTGTGTTTTCAAACAAATTGCTTCAAATAGTTTTACAAACTCTTTTATATGCAAAACTCTTTATCAAACTCTTTTAAACTTATATCTTGTCAAATCATGTCTATATAGATATATTTATATAAGTAGGATTGAAAGGACTTAGGACTGATAACTCGCCTTACTTCCTGTTCCTTGTTTGGTTGTGGACTTAGGGTATCGGTTGTTTGTCCGAAGGTCGTTTGAATCTTAGTTATATATTATGTGTATGTATATAGACATAAAATTCCTTCATTCAGTTCCATACCTTTGGGTAGCAAAGGTGTACAAACATGTTCATTCATACAAACAACATTACTAGTAAACTATAATAGGTATAATTTAGGAAGTCACTACTTACTATTACTAGAACAATGAAACATACAAGAGTCAGTTCATACATGAGTCAGTTCAAACATACTATAAAGAAAGACAAAACTCACTATAAAGAGAAACAGATAGATCATACTATAAAGAGAGACAATACTCACTATAAAGAGAAACAATACATACTATAACGAGAAACAATACATACTACACACTATACACTAGAGTACATACTATATACTAGACAGAGAGAACATACTATACAAACACAAGAATACTATAACATTAATGTGAGATACTACTTCATGGCTCGGCAATATACCGTTGTGTCACGTTTTGTACCCAGAGTCTCCTGGAGGGAGAACGTGAATTTGTGTATAGATCTATATGGGTCTGACCCTCCTACACCTTGCTGCTAGCTACAGTGGGACCTGCAGGTCTACGGGTGATGAATGTCATATCATTTCGACGTCTCGAACGTCGTGTTATACTAGTCGATCAAGTATGGTTACAATCTTATCACATTTTACCTTAATTAAACAAATAAGTTTAAGGTAGTTAGTACATTAGTAGTTACATAGATAGAACTACAGTACATCTTTATTTTCCCATTTCATTCACATTGTGATCTTCTCACATAAACGGTAATGAAAACTATATTTTGGTAATGATAGTCATACTTTGGGAAAAACACTCACTTTTACAAAAGAACAAACATAAAGAACAGTCGGGTCTTGGTAGAAGACTACTTTAGTAGAAAATATAGGATTTTCTAGGAAGTTTACAAACATTTACATCAAACACTTACAAACTTTTACATCAAACATTTACAAGCACATTCTTCAAACTTATGCAAACAATGACACTAATATACTTATGAACTCACCAGCTTTAATGTTGATCTATGCTTTCAAAATAACTTGTATTCTCAGGTCACCAGTAGACAGGTACCGATGACCAGGTTTTGAGAAGACGGAGCTTTCAAGACTCGTCTTTATTTTTGATTATTCATTTTTGGTGTCTTATAAACTTCAGAACACACTTGTATTAAAATATTACTATTAATGCAATGGATGATGTTGTTGCTTGTTTACTATTATGCATTGTTGTGATACTGCACATGACGTCCTCCGCCCCCGAACGTTTCCGTCGTTCCGGTTTTGGGGTGTGACAATGGCTCATCCTTTCTTTGATTGTAAGAAACCCTAAACCACTCTAGACCACCATTGCCGGACCGATGCCTAAAATAGCCGAATTGCCACCTCAACTTCAACCTTCGCCACCAGAGCATGAGAACACCATCTCAACTAGGTTAGCTGATTTCAAGTGGGAAAAGCTCAAGGATTTGAAGCTACATGGGGTGGTTGAATCCAAGACAAATGAAATCGATGATCTTAAAACAAAATATATTTATGTAAGCTAGTTGAAGATCTATAGGCAAGTCTATTGAGCGAAGTTGAGGATTTTGTTTATCTTAGATGACTCGATTTATGAAAAAAATGTTGAAGATCTACAAATGGGTCGATTTATAGGTGTGTATGTGTGTTTTCGATCGCAACTCTCAATGATCATCTTCTACTCATTCGATTTTGAACGAGAAGATATGATAAATGATAATGACGAAGGCGATCTAGTGGTGTGAATCAGAGCCACTCCTCTCTCTATATCTTCATACAATAAAATTAGCAACAATGATTAATTACAAATTGATTGTTTCTGCTTAGATCAAGCTTCAACTAAATAATAGTATTTATAGGATGAAGAGGTGAGTTTTTATGTGCATGTTCCAACTGTCCTCAACAAAAAGGACAAAAGGAATCATGTTTGGTGAAACATTTACACCTTCATGTATATATCTCTTTGTTATTACGTGTAAATCGTAGCCACACTTCCCCTATTCCTTGTATCCTATATTCAAATATGATTTTGCAGGTTGTGAGATGATGGTAGTAAATGGTGTTGGGCTATGACGACGAAGACGTGTAGATGGTGAGAAGATGATGACATGCTTGATTCCTCTTCCTTCATTAGATCTACATGTGTGAGGTAATAAACAACCAAGAATAGAAGACAGAGATGGAGATAATCGATGTTTGATGATTGTCTCGTTGGGATATTTCTATCATTGTTCAGCTGGAAAAGAGAGAGAGTGAGATAGAGAGAGGGAGAGGGAGAGGGAGAGGGAGAGAGATAAAGAGGGGGTGAGAGAGAGAGAATAGAAGACAGAGATAGAGATAATTGATGTTTGAGGATTTTGTTTATCTTAGATGACTCGATTTGTGAGCCCTATTTTCATAGTTATAATAACTTTAAAAAATGAAAGAAAAACAAAAAATAAATATATGAAGGGTATATTAGTCTTTTCAATTTTTTGAGGGACCAAATACACACCGAAACATGCTTAAAAGGACCATATATCCAATTTTATCAATGTTTTGTCTAATATATATACTACGTGGGTTAAACACGAAAATTTCGAAAATAAATGGGGTGAAAGTGATATTTCAGAAAGTTCAAAGTCGAAGGAGTGAAAATAACATCTTATAAAGTAGAGGGCTAGAAAATGTAGGAAAATCATATTATATATATACTAAATGGTTGAACACGAAACTTTAAAAAATAAAGAGGGTGAAACTGACATTTTAAAAAGTTTAAAGTCAAAGGAATTGAAAATGATATTTCATAAAAATAGATCGGTGAAAAGTATTATTTATGAAAGTTAAAAGGAGCAAGAGGTAGAAAGTGCCATTTCTGAAAGTTAGAGGGGATGTGTCGATAGAAACATCCACCAACATTACCTTTGTTCATTTAGAACTTTGTTTGGGGAGATAGTCGATAGTTGAAAGATTAGTTGTTAACTGAAAAACTAGCTGTTAAATTATAAGCTAGCTGATAAAAAATAACGTTTGATAAAAACTACATGATACGTTAACTGAAAGATATAAAATTACATAAAAAGACATTTTGAAGAATATGTTTTTTTTATAATTAATTATGAGTATATTTGAAAATTTTCTTTTAAAAAAAAGTCATGAAAAAGATAATCAAAGTTTTTTGTTTTTTTTATTTTTATAAATTATGGTTTGTCAAACATAACAACTTAAAAAAAAACTTTAAAAATAAACTAGCTGATCAGCTAGCTGTGTCGCGCCAAAAACAATAGTAACATATGAATTTTACATCCATAAAACTCACTCTTATTTTTCAAAAATAGGATTAAACCTACAAAATGGTGCAAACTATAAGGAAAAAACTGTAATTTCCGCTAAATAAAAGAGATGCTCTCGTATCCATTTCTTATCTCCATCGACCACCCACACCCAACAGAGAGATAGAGGGACCGTGACAGGGACTCAACTGTTGCGCATAATCTCTTTTTATTCTTATTCTCCCCGTCCTTCCCCCCCTATAAATACTTCGCATTCCTCTTCGTTACAAACGCCCAAACCCCTGTTCATCAGTAGGGTTTTCAGCTCGGCCATCATTGAAATACAAACCACTCTTCCAACAACATTATACAAATTCATACATATTTAACATACCAAATGGATGCTTATGCGTTGCATCTAGCTATGGCGGCACTATTCGGAGCCTCATTCGTCGCCGTTTCGGCATACTACATGCAGCGGAAAACCCTAAATCAATTACTGGAGTTTGCAAAATCTGTTGAGAGGGAGAGAGAAGACGGGACTTATGATGACGATTCGCCTTTGCATTACAAGAAGTATAGTAGTGCTGAGAAGCATCAGCAGAAGCGAAACCGGGGAGGACGGAAGAAGGGAGGAAATGATGGATATCACCGGCGGGCTTCGACTTCCTTGTCTGACGTCACTTCGATTTCAGGTGCCGGTGGTGCTGGCGATGCGGATATTATTCCACTTGGGTTGCCTAGACTCCGTACGCTTCCTGAAGGTAGGAAAATATGCGAATATTCGCCTGGTTAACAATTCTTGCTTTCCTTGGAATATCATCAAGGGTGAACTTTGGCTTAATATAATTGCATACTTCTGTTGTTTCAAACATTTGCCACTTATTTGCATGGTCATAATATGTAATCTTCTAAGTGGATGATCCCCATGTCACCATGTGAGTTAATAAAATTATCACATATCTTCTGCATTGATGTGTATAATTAGCATATTATTCAGTAAATGGAACCAAGATTGTCATAGCTACCATGTAGAATATGATGTATACTTAAAACGAATATTGATATCTCTTGTTATAAAGCATCCTATAATTGTTGTAGAGAACTCAGCCGCTGGGTCAACCAAGAAAACAGGGCATCTACCTAGACCGACTTCTCCAAAGTCTCCAATTGCAAGTGCAAGTGCTCTTGAAAGTGGCGAAGGCTCTGAAGAAGATGCTGATATGACTGACAATGCTGATCTGGATACAACATACCTTCATACTAATGGAAATGCTGTAAGCTTTTGATACATTATTAGATCTCTGTGTGTGTTTGTAACTGATATCTGATACCCATCTTGTTTTGGTTGAAACACACTCTTTTAACATCTGTTTGACATCTACCAACAGGCTCATGGGAGTTTACCAGAACATACTAATGCAAATGGAGAGCAATTACCCATAGTTGCATCTACCATGATCCGCTCACATAGTGTATCTGGAGACCTGCATGGTGTTCAACCAGATCCTGTAGCTGCTGATATTCTTAGAAAAGAACCAGAGCATGAAACCTTTGTAAGGCTGCGAATCTCCCCATCTGGTAATCTTCTCTCTCTCTTTTTGCAATTTCATCTACACAGAAACACATACACACACACACAAGTATATGAAAAATGAATAATCTTCATCAACTGCTCATATTGCAGAGACACCATCTTCTGATGAAGCAGAGGTTTACAGAGCATTACAAGGTTGTCTTGAAATGCGAAAGAGCTATGTGTTTAGAGAAAGCATTGCTCCCTGGGAGAAACAAGTTATATCTGATCCTAGTACTCCAAAGCGCAATCCAAATCCTTTCGAGTATACCCCTGAGACAAAATCTGATGTAGGTTTTAAGTTCTGGACACAAGTTTGTACTTGATGCTTATTTTCTTGAATCTTGATTCTTGACTTTATATTCAATTGCTTGCAGCATTATTTTCAAATGGAAGATGGCGTGGTTCATGTTTATGCAGATAAAGATTGTAAGATATCATGATTCTTGATGGTGGTGGTGCTTTTGTCTTTAGTTTTGACTTTTGAGTGTAATTGTTTTCCTTTTCAGCAAAACAGAAGCTTTTTCCAGTTGCTGATGCAACAACATTTTTCACTGACCTTCATCACATCCTTAAGATATTAGCAGCTGGGAATGCACGAACGGTATGTCATCATCGCCTTGGTCTTCTGGAACAGGTAGACACTCTTGGGTTAGTTTCTTTACTTAATAAAATTTCGCCAAGTTTCTGTTTTTGATAAGTTTTATTTTAATTTGTGACATGATATGAATATCCATCAAGAAATTCAACCTTCATTTGATGCTAAATGCGGATAAAGAATTCCTAGCTCAGAAAAGTGCACCACATCGCGACTTTTATAATGTACGTAAAGTTGACACTCATGTTCATCATTCTGCATGCATGAATCAAAAGCATCTGTTGAGGTTCATAAAGTCCAAGTTAAGAAAGGAACCAGATGAGGTATTTGTTTCCTGCTCATTTAAAAATGTGTTTCTCTTTTGCATGAATCAAAGTTTCTTTTTCTTTTTCCTGTTTCAGGTTGTAATATTTCGTGATGGGACATATCTGACCTTAAAAGAGGTTTTTGAGAGCTTGGATTTAACTGGGTAACTTTACTATCTGTAGAACAATTGTATCTTCTTGTGTGAATGTTTTTTTTTTTCTGATCATAAGTCTTCAATGCAGATATGACCTGAATGTTGATCTATTAGATGTGCATGCAGACAAGAGCACATTCCATCGTTTTGATAAATTCAATCTGAAATACAACCCCTGTGGTCAGAGTAGGCTTCGGGAGATTTTCTTGAAACAGGACAATCTAATTCAGGGTAAGTTTCACATATTAATGGGGTGTAAACTCTAAAGAACTTATAAAATAAAACTCATGATTACTACTTTTTCAGGTCGTTTCCTTGCTGAGGTAACAAGCCAAGTGTTTGCAGATCTTGAAGCTAGTAAATATCAAGTGAGTTTTGATTTTTGAAAGCCATGTTATGTATTCCCTTTATCTGTTTTGATTCATGTATGACACTTACACTTGAAGCTTTTTTCCATTTGATAGATGGCTGAATACAGAATATCAATATATGGAAGAAAGCAAAGTGAGTGGGACAATTTGGCGAGTTGGATTGTAAACAATGAATTATACAGTGAGAATGTTGTCTGGTTGATTCAGGTGCTGTATTACTACAAATACAATGATACATATACTAATTTTCTCTGGTTAAAATAAAAGTAACCAAATCTTTATTTATACTTTAATATCAATTAACTAACATTTATTTGCCTACTTGTGTTGTTCAGCTACCCCGGCTTTACAACATATACAAAGAAATGGGTATTGTGACATCATTTCAGACAATTCTGGATAATGTCTTCCTTCCACTCTTTGAGGTTACAATCGATCCAGATTCACATCCCCAGCTGCATGTATTCTTGAAACAGGTAACACCACTCAAACTTAACATGTCACATAATTTGAATTTGATTTATTTTTCACAAAAGTTGTATTTAATGTAATGTTGTAACAATCTTATGAATACAATACAGGTGGTGGGATTGGATTTGGTGGATGATGAGAGCAAGCCTGAAAGACGCCCTACAAAACACATGCCAACACCTTCCCAATGGACAAACATCTTCAATCCTGCATTCTCATACTATGTCTATTATTGTTATGCCAATCTTTATACCCTAAATAAGCTTCGTGAATCGAAGGGCATGACAACTATTAGATTCCGTCCTCATTGTGGGGAGGTATGTGTGAAAAAGACGTAAATACCCTCATCTTAATTGGAAATAACATTGTTACATGTATGTTTGTGATCAGGCGGGTGACATTGACCACTTAGCTGCCTCATTTCTTACAACTCACAACATTGCACATGGAATTAATCTCAGAAAATCTCCTGTCCTTCAATATCTATACTACCTTGCTCAGGTAACAACTAACAACTAACAACTAACAAATCCCTTTTTCCTGTTTAATTTTTATTGATTGATCTGATGAATAAAATTGTTATTATTATTATTTGGTCAGATTGGGCTTGCAATGTCTCCTTTAAGCAACAACTCGTTATTTCTGGATTACCATCGGAATCCTTTTCCGATGTTTTTTCTACGTGGGCTTAATGTTTCCCTATCTACTGATGATCCCTTACAAATTCATCTCACAAAGGAGCCCTTGGTAGAGGAATACAGTATTGCTGCTTCTGTAAGCATTCCTATTCCTGTTTGCAATATGTGAATATACTATATATGATTGTCATTCTGGGAATTCAAGTATCTTTTTTACAGGTCTGGAAGTTGAGTTCATGTGATCTTTGTGAGATAGCACGTAATTCCGTTTACCAATCAGGTTTCTCCCATGTTCTCAAGGTAAAAAAAAAAAAACTGTTTCAAGTTTATAAATAATTAGCAACTTAGTAGGTTGGTTGGTGTTATGTGAAAGTGAAAGGGGTAAGTAAAATTTGAGAGTGATTTGTGTTTTTTTAGTCTCATTGGATTGGGCAAGAGTACTACAAGAGAGGGCCAGATGGAAATGATATTCACAAGACAAATGTACCACACATCCGACTTGAATTCCGAGATGTGGTTTGTATTTGTATTTTATTGAAAAGTGTATTAGTATGAATTTAAGGCACCAAAAATAATGCATTTTGTTTATGATAATTTTGGTGATGTAATGCAGATATGGAGAGAGGAGATGCAACAGATTTATTTTGGGGAAGGCCAATTTCCCTGCATACATCGAGACCTAACCTACCCACCCCCACCCTCCCTTGTTCATACAATCTTGCCCTAAACTAAAGGTATAAATTTCTTTTACATTTGTTTCGTTTCAAAAGGCAGCAAGAAGAAATGTTTTTTTTTTTTTTTTTAATAAAATTTAAATCTCTCCAGTCTCCAGTTCCTGTTGATGGCGTGTGGTTGGGAGCAGAAAAGAGGCTTTTGCTTGGTAAAGCCAAGAATTTTCATGAAAAGCTTCTCAATAATTGAGCTTTAATAAATATTACTATATAGCAATAGGTTTCTTAGTATCTTTAACATAAGATATGAACACCAAGGAATATAATACTTCAATAAAAGTATTTATCATTATATTATTTATTCGTTTAGGTTGCTGGCCTGCTTAACTTTTGATTTTTCAACGTATGTAGTATTGTAACCATATATGGTTTTCATTTTCAGATGCGTATGTATCAACTATCAAGTATCAACCCAGCTCATCCATTATGTAACTAATTAATATTATTTTTACTTCAAAATTATCAAATGGAATGGAAATTTCCCAAAAAATGTAAAAGATGTACATACATTTACTTGATTGAAATTGAACCCGTACAACATCAATGATCAAACACAGTTTTACCAACACCTACTTAAATCTTACACAAAAGACTTGTAAAAATGTATGTTTCATAAGCATTTGCTGCAAAAACTTTTAATCGTCATCATCACTTCATTTGCTACAAAGACGCAAGAAATATTTGATTCCAGGTATCTGGAACTCCTGGCAAACACCAGTGTATGCAATCCGCAAATTTCATTGGATCAGCTTTTTGCTCATCAGTCAACAATCTACCTAGCATTTCCGTGTAAATTGATGAATGGGCTTCTACTCTATATTCTGATAACTGTGTTATGTTGACCACAGTAACTGGAACTTTCATTTTTCCAATCACGCTACGTACCACACTCATTATTCTTTTATCAGATCCCGTTCCCCAATGTCCTTTTTTCATTATCGGTTTCGTTTCATTGTAGCATTTCATCCCTCCCTTGTTATTCCAATCCGCACTCCTACATCAATAATCAATTCAAGCTACTTGTAATAATGATTCATATTAGGAGCCTCCTTGTATAAAAAAATGGAAGGCCTTACCTTTGATGAGTTGGGGACATGGTGGTGAAAAAAACACGGGTTTTGTTCTGATCGATGTTCGAATCAATCCAATTTGCCCATGTCTTCAAAGCTATTCTATAGGAAACGGATGCATCTAATTCTTCGTATCCATCTTCCCCATTTGCAAACGAACCCCATCTGTATTTGTGTAAAAAAACCAAAAAATGTCTTTATGTCATCATACTAGCTAAACAAAAAAGAAAAAGTAAAAAGAGGAACTTACAAGGATTTGATCTTGGTACCAGTCATCCACCAAACATAAGTATTGTACACAAGAACATCAACGCCAATCCAATGTTTAGCATGTTTCTCAATGGAATCCACTCTAAGTATTCTCTTCTTCGGGTCTCCTATTATTTGTACATCTGTATTCGAGTCTATCAGATATGGTGCCCAATAGAATTCAATCGTAGCATTGTGATCCTGTTCAAATCTCAACCAACCTTAATTTTGTCACTCATCAAACACCATCTTTATTTTTTAACCACAAATAATTCATTTCCACATTACCTTTATTGTGAAGACCGAATGAACACGACCTCTTCGCATTGATTTCTGATCTTTCGGTATAAGAAACTCCACCAAACAAACAAAAGATTGCCATTGCCCTCTTTGTAACGAATCTCCTACAAACATCACCCTCTTCCCCCTTATCTTCTCAAGTGCTAATTTAGCATCAAACCTGAATCAAGTAAACTCATTAACTAGTTATAAACTTGTTGCCCAAATGGTTGGATTAATTATAGAAAAAATTTCACCTTGGAAGGACACAACCATCGAGTTGCCATTCCCATCGTCGATAATCAGAATCAGGCTTTCCATTCTTAACACAAGACACTTGCCTATCGAGATACGGACAAGAAAGATCTGTGTACAAGGGTTGAAACGACTGGTTGTAGACCCATTTCCCTCTTGCAGTGTTGCATTCACCTGCCTCAAAGATGAATCGATCATCGAGAATGGACTTGAGTCTATTCTCCTCCGTAGCGTTTCTTTCATCTGTGTCACATATAATATATATCTAACCATGATCTATACAATTGTGTTTGTTACACAAGACAAGACTCGAGTGGATGGAAGTGAAACTAGACTGGACAGACTTTCTAGGGCTACTTTTAATGACGTGGCCAAGGAGTATACGCATGTCTTTTGCACAAACAAAAAGTAAAGAGTGAGACTCTGTAGTTTTTGTCCCACTACATCAGTCTCGATCCAATGAATGTCAAATATAGTAAAATTACAGAATAAATAGACCTTGTATTGAATTCTTTGTGGATTTGGAATAACCCCTTTTTGCGCAAGATTTGGAGTTGAAAACGGCGGTGGACGAGAGCAAGTTGATTCTCTCGGTATACAATAGAACGATGAATGTGAATGAAAAGATCAACACAACAACTATAGAAAAAGAGAGCTTCCCACGAGGTGATTTTGTGATCACACCCATTGAAGAGTCCTTATTTGTTCTCTTGATGGTATGTTTAACACTTGTGTGAAGTTGAATGGAAGAGCATGATTTTATGTTTTAGGCATAATGCAAAACAAATGAGTATGAGTTGTTTGGAGTAGGAGTGAAGCTAAAGCATTGCATTTAATATCATTTCTTTGCAACGCATTTTCTTTATATCGGTTAGGGTGGCAACTACAGTTTGAAAGTTAGCCCAAAGCTGTTGCAAGGCCAATTTATTGTCGTCGAAGGTTTGATCATGTGATAGTATGAAATAAACAAGCAAATGAAATGGTTAATATTTAAGAATTAAAAAACATTTTTCGTATAATTTATAAATACAACATATAGTACTCTACTTTATATACATAATTTGATTTTAATTTAATGATTTTTATGGTTAAAAATGCAAAAAAAAAAAAGCATAATAAAAATTTCATAAAGTGATAAAACCCAAATAAGATTATAATGAAAATATATGTTAACATGATTTTAGAAAACAAAATTATGATCAATTAAACTCGTAAAACTTTTAGAAAGGATATGTAATTAAATAAATAAATAAATAATATGGTATATTGTAATTTTCATGGACAAAAACCAAATATGGCTAAAGAATAAAACTTTATAAAATGGAAGAATATCCTTTAAATAAATATCATTTGATCCTTTCCATCTAATAAACACTTTCTTTTCATTTAAATGAAATTGATAGTTTCACTTTTTCTCCAATTGCATCGTACAACACGATACCTTAAGGTTAAAGGCTTCGTGTGATGTATCAAACCAATTAATTAGAAGCGTCCAATTACGTTTCCAATATCGCAATTAAAAGAATAAAAATATGTAATATTCCAACTTAATTCTACATGTTTTCTCTTTAACAATCACTCTACATATGTAGTATTGACTTAAGTTTATAAGTTTTTGTCCTATAACTTAATACTTTATTTATTTAGCACCTAGTTAAAATATTTTTAACTATTTCTGCAAGGATGTGATATAATATATGATGTTTGTTAAATATTTGTTCAAATTACCATGTCATCATATGACATGTTTTTGGTAAATATTGTCATTTTGATGTCTCTTCCAATTGATCTCACTATTGATCCGAGAGGCACCAATGATTTTTGGGATGTTGAACTGGAACCCTTTAGGCCAGTTCATTAGATTTTGGAATTGGTTTTGATATCAAGTATCTGATTTTATAATTTTTTGTATAATTCTTTCATTGCAAAGTATATACAGTAATCATTACAAATTAGATTATGTTTGATGGATTAGCTGACTGATAACTGAATATTGTTATTTGAAACATTGTTATCACTAATACAAAATTGCTAACAATAAAAGAAATGCAAATTAAATTAATTAGTTGGAGCTCATGGATATAGTTTTTATCAAGAACATTGATATCATTGATGCAAAATTATTAAAGTATATATGATGATTAAACAAACATATTTAATTTATGATATGTAATATTACAACCAGAAACTTAACCAATAATCTAATTGAAAAAGCTATTACAAAAAAAATGCTAAGTGATTGTTCGATTTAAGACTCGACTTGAGTCTTTGACTGGATTGAATATTGATCTTTTACATGTTAATGTTACAAGGTGAAAAAAAAATTAAATTTCATTATCTTTTATTATCAAAGACGTAATTAATTTTGAAAACACCATACAATTATGGTGACAAGTGACAACACCCATTATAATGGGTCTTGTTATTCTTACTTCATTTACAAAACTAGCATTTAAATACTTTATGTCACATCTAAATGATAATTATGTCATTTGTTAATGACTTTCCAAATTTCATGTCATTTTATGTTATCCAAACATGTGACAATCATGAATTGTTTCAAATTCTGATTCCTCATTCCAATTTTTTTTGAAAGATTTTAATTTATTAAAAAAAAAATGTGTGAAACAAATGGACCAAGTCTTTTGATCGAAAGATTTTAATTTATTAAAAAAAATGTATGAACCAAATGGACTAATTCTTTTGATCGGTAAACAACTAAACATGGTCTTCGAAATTTCAACAAAAGACAAAAGGTTATATAGTATAATCGAAAAATAGAATATCATATATAGAGTAAATTATACGAAATGTCCCTCGTGCAGTTGCTAAAAGACACGTTTAATTTTTATTTTTAAAAGTTAACTCGAATTGTCTCTTATATCGTGAAAATGATATGTTAACCATACCTAACCTTTATCTATTTCTTTTTTTGATTTATCCCTGATTTTTTTTTATTATTAACAAAATGTTTAAAAAAGAAAATGGGGCCTACTATCACAATTCCTTAATCTCTACCCTAATATCACCCATACCTTCATCATTTCATCTTCCATTTCTTTGGAGTTGCTGAAGCTAAAAAGAAAGGGTCGTCATCGTCGGAGCAACCATCGTCGCCATCGCCACCTGCATACCGCCGTTCACCACCTCTGATATATACCTTTCCCTTTTCCTCCGGAAACCACCGGCGCTGAAAGACCGTCGTTACGGTTATGTACTATGATCTACACCCTTCACCTGCGTACCGTCATTGTCGTTTGCACACCACCATCACCGTCTTCGCCCTCACCCTCATCGGACAAAAAAGGAAGAACATATCAACTATTTTCTGCCTCTATCTCTGTTCGAAACCCTAACTCCACCTCCATTTTCGTTCGAAACCGTAGATCTTAGGGGTTTTCAGTGGTTGTATAGGTCTGATAACAAGGTAGATCCAGGTGAACAATGGCGAACAGTGGCAACGTTCAAAAGGGGTTTCCCGTGGTGGTTGTGCAGATTTTCGGTGATAGTGGTGAGTAACTATTCTTCACCAATATATATATATATATATATATATTATATATATATATATATAATATA